CCATGCTGGAGGCAGTATCTTTGAAGTTAATAGCCTTGGATGGATTTTTTCTTCTGTGAATTTGTTACATGGGGTGATAAAAATCAGATAAATGAGGAAATCACATAAATAAGGGCACGTAGTAGGCTGGAAGAGGGATGGGCAGCAGGAGAAAATGCTGACTCATGGAAACGGGAGTTGGCAATGTGCAGGGCAAGGACCTGGTGGGGAAGTGCCATGAAGTTGACGAAAGAACAGAGATGTTCGTATCTGAAACCAGGAACCCGGCGCAAAATGAAGGAAGTAGAACAAGTGCTGTAGTGCTGTAGGACACAGACTGCCTATCAAAGGAGTGGCAGAATAACCATGACTCCATCCCAGGCATGTCTCTTACTTCTCCCATACCTTTAACAAAAATATCCCTTTTACCTCCACTGGGATGGATGATGCTCACTGTGGCGTGAGGCACGCTCGCTGTGCCGGCAGTGGCAGCGGGTGGGTTTTGCTCTCGCTCACTGACCAAACAGGAGGTGATGCTATTTTTGTCTTGCTTTTGACATGCAGCGAGGGCACTGCAGAAGAGCAGCCTATGGAAAATAACTTTGTTCTGTGAGGGAGCTGATTCCCTTGAAACTGGGTGGAAGAGGAGAAAATGGATTGGCAATGACAGGTTTCATTTCCAAGCAGTGAGGATTGAGAGGCTGAGGAAACTAATTACCAAAGTCAGCTGGAATGAACAGCTAAAGGGCTTTGACATGGTGGAGGCTTGGTGACAATGATTTCAAATGAAGGAGAAGCGGTGGGTTTAATATATCCAAGATAGCAGGACTGCTGGTGTAGTTTCACCTGGGAAATAGGTCTGCAAACTGTCTCCGGGGGGGCTGGTTTTCAGAGATGGCTTTTGCAAAGCAAACCCAGCAGCTGGACCCATATCTGCTGCAGATGGGGAAGTTACTGCAGGGACATCTTGAAACTGTATGTGTTTTATACATCTTGAGATTGTGTATGTTTTAAAATCAGTCATGAGACCACCTGTTTCCAAAGGCCACCTGAGACCTTCCGCTCACGGGGCCACCTGGTAAATTCCTCCTCTCCGTCTGGCTCTCCGCAGGGATTTTAAAACAAAGCTGGGCTTAGACTTTGGCATGTTCCCCAGGGCTGGTGTGGGGGAAGCCCTCTCAGCCGGTCCATGCCAGGCCGTGCCGTGAGGCACCAGCAGCCCAAGCCGCATTGCAGAGCAGCCGCTGCAGGCAGCGTCTGTCGTCCTCTCCGCAGTTTGATTTACTGTCCCCCAAATGGCTTCCTGCAAGTTTTCTGCAGGGCTTTAAGGACTGTGCTGGATGCTCTGTGCTCCAGGGGCATTTTGACTGCATGACCCATTTAGCAGCCTGGCTGGGCACCTCTCCCTGCAAAAGTTGCTGCAGGTCTCTGTTGCTTTTTGAAGTTTTCAGGTGAAAAAGCACCAGCTTTCTTCCAGCTGCCCTGCTGAGGCTTTTCTTTGTTTGCTCATTCTCAATGCATCCTGAAGAAACTGTATTTTGGGCTCTACCTGCCAAATGAGGCGACAGATGATGATGATTTCCCTGTAACAGGAGGCTTCAAAGCTATGTGCCTGCCTGCTACTCCTCCCTCAGCATCCCTGCTGCTCTTCTCCTGCCTTGCTCTGATTTTAGAAAATTTCTCCCATGGCCAAAGAACATGTCACTTCGGTTAATTTTTTAGTGGATGAGGGTGCTCCTGATCTGGGGGATGCGACTTCCCGGAGACCCTCCCTACCGCCCCACAGTGCCAGCTCTGCCTCAGCTCCTGCTGACTCCAGCTCACTGAATACCTCCCTGACCGAGGGATGCTTTTGGATTTCAGCTCCTGCCAGCACTTCTGCTTGTCTTTATCAAGAAGAGTTGCTTCAGAGGCAGTCTCTGTGCCTCTTTTCCCAAATGATTTCCTCAGCACCCTTTGAAAAGCACTGTCCATGGGGGCCACGAGCATGGCCTGCAGCAAGGCTGCACCACGCAGCGCGGGAACCTTGAGGAACAGCGGAGCGGTTAATAAATTAAAAGCTATTTCATTATAGGAAATGAATGTTTAATGAGTGTGGGATGACGTCTAGACAGTCCTTCAGTTCCAGGCTCTACATGGTCTTGGAGGAGGGTTCAGCCGATGCAGCCAGTGCTGGCTCAGTGCCGGGGGGAAGGTTTGGCAAAGCTTTCCCGGGCAGTGAGGTCCTGCACAGGACAGACATCCTGGCACGGCAAGGATCTCCTGTCTCCACGTCTTCTCGCTGCAGATGCCCCTTGTGCCTCTCTGGGCAAAGCCCCAAGGAGCTGTGGCTGCAGTGGGACGTGCTGGCAAGGGGGAGGCTTGGCTGCGTGCCTGGCTCCAGCCTGGAGCACACAGCCACGCTCTCTTGCTCTGTGGCACCTCGCCCGGGGGTCCTGCAACACTCAGGGAGCTAGAAAGGTCTCTGCATGGTCTAGGACATTCCAGCCTTTGCCATGCCATGGGCTCTGGACTCATGGCACGAAACCTGGGCTGAACTGGGGACAGCCTGGTAGGGTGGGGGTGAGTGCTTGTGAGTCTTTGCATCCTGCCCCGATGAAGATGTTGTTTTATAGCTACAGAAAAGGGGTTTCAACTGCAGAAATTTGAATGTAGGTCTCCAAAAGGTCCCCCTGCCGTGCTGGAAGTGCTAATTGTCCCCTGTAGAAACCCAGTGCTGATGCCGTCAGAAGTCTTGGCTGCCTGATGGGGAGAGGCAGGAACGCATCAGCTCCTCCGCAAAAGCTCTCCAGCTCCTATCCCAAGCACAGAGGTTGCTGGCTGAGTTTGCTCAGCCTGTCTCAGTGCAAATGACCACACACAAGAAGCTCGAGGCGTCTCAGCGGTGGCGAGGAGATGGAAATAACACATTTTAACTTCATCCCAGGAGCTACCTGCTTGCCTCTGGGGATGGTTGCAGTGAACCAGCCCAAGGTGCTGTCATGCACAGCACGGGAGATGCTGGTAGGACCTCCCTCGCCTCCAAGCACCCACCCTCCTCTGTCCCCCATCAGCAAGTGTGCTCAGCCTAAGGAAGTGCTTTGCCGTTCCTGGAGCTGGTGATGGGGGAAATAGTCTCTGGGACACCTCACTGTCGCTGTAAAGCTGCAGGGATGGGACTGATGCCGCAGGATCTGGTACTGGGTCTCTGGGCCCAGAGCACTGCATCGGGCAGGGTGCATGGCTCCCAGGGGAGCTTCTTGGCTGCCCCAGGCTGCTGAGTTTGGGGATCTCCTTAGTTCCTGGGCCTGCCCTGACCACCCTTGGGAGCAGCCCTGAGTCATTGGAGAGTGGGAGAGGGCACCCAGGTGCCTGGGGTACTGTGGTGTGATGTCCCCGGGGACTGTGGCAGTTACTGTACCTTTGTGCCTAGAGGAGAAAAAAAAAAAGAGGAAAATACATTTTTGCTTTCCCACAAGTGGAAAGTGGTACAATCTCTTTCTGTGGGGCATTTCACTCCAGTTTTCTCAAACCTTGGGATTTCTGCAGGGTGAACACCTACAAACCACTCTGCCAAAGGCCTGTCAACTCCTGGCACCCAATATCCCCTCCTGGTGTCTCAGAGGGCTGGTGGAATCTGGGGACACCATGTGAAGCTGATGGAGAGGGCTGGGTGTTATCTTCTGACATTTTGTTGTTGTTGTTGTTTTCATTCTCTTTCTGTTGTGTTTTCCCTCCTTGCTTTGCCAAGGCATTTCCATACAGGCATGAGAGGTTGGGAGAGTCATGGCATGAGCATGGCAGCCACGCCAGGGGATTCAATGGGGTGGACTTTGTGGCACTGGTCTTCTGCCCTATTTCTCCAATGGATGTGATTGAGAAGCCAAAATATAGTATTGGTCCAAAGCGTAGTGAGTTTTAGCCAGCCTCAGGCCTCCGAGAACTTAGCAGCACCCGAGTGCTGTGAGCCGCTTGTCTGACTTTTTGCTACCAGGAAAGCTTGGGCAGCATTTCTTCGGTAGCCAAGTGATGTTTCCCTTGTAGTCTTGGCTTGCAAACGGCAGAAGCAGAGCTGTGGACCGGGAAGGTCACGGCTGTTCAGCGGCACCAGCAAAGACTTGTTGGGTACTGGGAGCGGCTCCTGCAAGTCCTGCCTGGCTGCTGGGAAAACATCTGGCTAGGTCTTCCCGAGATGTGTGGCTTGCTGCTGCCATATGGCAGCTGTGAAGCAATAGCTTGGCTATGGGCTTTGCTAATGCACAAAAATACTTTCTGGGAGCCTGCTTCAGCAGCGAGCCTGTGGCGAGCTGCTCTGAGCAGGAAACAGTAACCACAAAGCTATATATACAACTCCCGGCAGAGCTGCTGCTGCTTTTGATGTGACAAAATTAAGGTGGTGTTTTGCAGAGAAATCCAGCATGTCGCCTTCTTCCGGAGCTGAGGCTGACATAGAGAGGGCAGAGCCCAGGGCCTGGCTCCTGGGCGGGCTCCTGGGCCAAACCAGGGGAGCTGGCATGGGGAAGTGGGTGAGAAGCTCTCGTCACCTCTGAAAGCCAGGCGGTGCTGGAGGCCGCCGGGTCCCTGAGCCGTGGGGAGCAGTGCACATGTCTGGGGTGTCATGGCTTGCGCTCTGCCTGCCTGGCTCTTGCTGGCTCTGCTAGTGTTTAACTTGAGCCAGTTTAGCTGGTACCGTGGCAAAATGCAAGCGGCTGAGGACAACATGAGGGTCTGGGCTTTTTCCCCAGGTGCAAGTTGAAAGCATCTTTAAAGCTATGGAGACAGTAGCAGTCACCCACAGGAGATATAGCCTGGCCCCGAAGGCCCCTCGTCCCCCAAAGGACATGCAGCCCCTCGCCTCCTCCTGAAATCAGCCTCTGCATCCCACCCTGCCCCTTTGCTGCCTGCACCCCGACCCTGCCAGCCTCCCCATGCAGCCAGGCTGGGCTCGCTGTGGGGCCAGGGCAGGCGTGCAGCTGCGGTCCCTCTCCTCCTCGCCCCAGGCAGGTGAAGCCCTGCCTTGCCTCTCCCGCGCTGTTTTGCAGAGCGGGGCTGACTACGGCTTCCTCGTGAGCCAGAACACGAAGCTCCTGAGTGCACTGGAGGACCTGCGGCACCGCTGCTCCAGCCTGGCCGAGGAGAACAGCTTGCTGGTGAGCAGAGCATGTGGCCCCATCCTGCGCCCTGGCCAGGTGCTGGGCCGGCTGCCGGCACAGGATGCTCTGTGGGGAGGGAGTCCCGGCCAGGGCGAGCTGCTGTCTGCTGCCAACACCAAGAGATGCCAGCACAGGGGATCCCCCGGGCAGAGCCAGAGGGGAAAGGGGGCCTGGGTGCTTTGGGTCTCCTGGGTGCCTTCACACTGCACCCATCGCTGGCTCGAGCAGGACCCCTTCCTTGCGATGCAGAGCAGAGCCAGGACCCTCCGCTGCCCTCTGACATCTTTGTCTGGTGCCACTTGGCTGCTGGAAACCACAAGAGGTTTTAAGGCAGCCGCCCTGAGAGCAGGCAGAGAGCAGGGCAGCAGCGAGCTGACAGCAGGGGAGAGGGAAGTCGCTCTTGTTTCCTCTTTAGTTGGAAAAGCAGAAACACTGATTCACTTGGCCTCGGCTTTGGGTGACAGTGCAGCACTGCCCCCTGCTCCCATGGGAGCTCCGCACCCGGGTCCTCCCCAGCTGCACCCCCAGCACCCAAAGCCAAGCCATGCTGCCACAGCCTGGGCTGCCCATTCTGCCCCGCTTCCCCACCCCTGGCTCCCCAGGCCCATGGTGGGCAGCCAGGACCCTCAGGAAATGCGAAGAGGGGACGTTCCCCTCCTGCATCCTCCCTGGAGAGCATCAGGCCCTTGCACAGCCTGGCAGCTTGGGGATGTGACCACCCTGGGCCCCTGAAAATTTGATTGCTCAGCATTTCAGATTTATATCACCAAATTCAAAATGCATATTTTAGATAATTTTCTTACACTAAAAGCATAAATCCAGTATGACCTGCACGCTGGGATGTTACCCCTTATCAGTCATCTGGATTTTAGCAAAGCACTGCCGTGTAAGCTCTTGTCAAATCTTACTCTCAAAAATCAGCCTCAGTCTTCTGGCTGAAGAAAAGCAGTGAGAGCAGCAAGCGCCTATGGTGGGATCTCACAGAGCTAGGGAAGAAAATAATTGGAAGGATCAGCTGACCTGACATTTTTGCTGATGTGAAAAGACAGCACAACACATCTGGGTACAACCTTGAGAGAACGAGCCATCGGCAAGTGGCAGCTTATCGAAACAGACAGATAACAAATAAAAGGGGATTAAGAGCAAACAGAATCAACAGGAAGAAAAGGGAAATTTGCTTTGCGAACATCATAAAGTCCTTTGCCGCTTTCTCCCCGTTCCCCCCCAACTCATGCTTTGGTGTCATGAGAAAAAGGACGACGGCGAAGCTTGCAGTGGCAGTGCAGCACAAATCCGCAGCGATGTGTTGAGTCCTGTAACCCCAGGGAAATAAACCGGGAAGACTTTGGAAGAGAAAGCCCAAAGGGTGGGTGGCCAGGCCAGACTGATACTGGAGGTGCGCTGAGTCCCAGCTGGCTAAGGGAGAGCCTGCAACAAGCATGTTGCGGATGGAGAGGGACCTTGCAGCATGGCCTGGGGTGGGGTGAGGGGCATCTCATAGGGACCGAGAAGTCACATTAACAAAAATAATGGGAAAAACACAGGTTTAAGTGACCAGAGAGGTGATGAGCAGAGGATGGTGTTTAATGTTTGGGACAGTTATAGGAGAACAGGCCAAGCCCTGGGTGGGAAAAGCCCTGTGGGCGCAGAGCCCATCAGGCAGGGCCGGAGACTTTGGCTTCCCCTAACACCCTAGCACGCAGCTTCGAGCTGAGTGGGGGCTTCACCTTGAACCTCTCCTTCTGTTATCTAGCGCAGGAGCTGCTTTCCCCAGACGGAGGAGAAGGTGAAGCACCTGAAGAGGAAGAACGCAGAGCTGGCAGTGATTGCCAAGCGCCTGGAGGAGAGAGCCCGGAAACTCCAGGAGGCAAACCTCAAAGTCGTGAGTGTGGGGGCTTGCTGCTGCTGGGAAGCTGAGCTAGGAGAGCACCTTATCGCCAGGACTTCTTGCTTGCTACTTCTATTGAGCTAGAGGCCTTTTCTTTCCCCCTTCCTTTAGCCTGCAGCAAACGTGCTTTGCACATCATCAGCAGGGCAAGAATCACGAAACCCCGCCATCGCCAGCTGCTTCTGCTTGTGTGTGGGGTGCTGGCTTTGAGCAATTCCCCCCTGCTTGGTTTCTCACTGTAAATGTGCTGACCTACCTTGTGGTGTTAGTTTAAGGTAATAAGCTCAGCTTTCCCTGGGCAAGTCGTGAAAATAATGCATCTGACTTCACCAAACAGAAACAGGAAATATTTGAATAAGAAAAGGAGTGCGGTAAAGCAAAACAGGAAGGGGTGAGGGACTCTGATCTGCCCCATCCACACCTCGCTTGCATTGCTGTGCAAGCCGCATGGTTTTTGCTTTCTCCAGCTCAACAGCAGCTTGTTGCAAACCCTGTAGTATCTGACATGGTGTGGGAGTGGTGGGAGATGGCTGTAGGATGTGGGATCTTCCATGAGCTTCCAAATTGCAGTGGAGTAAGGGAAAACCTTTCTGCGATTGGAAGAAAACCAGGGATTGTGATGGGGAATTCAGGCCCTTTAGGAAAGAAGGGAGGAAGTGAAAGATTTACTGAAGAGAAGGTAGGGGGTTTTCCTGGCGCTGCCTGCCCTCTCTGCCCCCAGGCACTGCGCCACCCCTCTGTCACGGGGTTTTCATACTTGCAGGTCAACAGTTGCTGCCAGATGGGCTTGTCAGATACTGTGTTAAGAGAAATCATTTGATATACTTCCAACAGCTATGCAGACCCTCCAGCAACTATACAAATACTGTTTTATTTTTTTCCTGAGTGAAACTTTGGTTTGATAAACCCAGGGACTGGATGTGGCCTCACTGCCCAGAGGGTTGGGGTGAGCAGGGGAGCACGAGCTGCGCCTTCCTCCAGCTCGGCGGTGCTGGTACCCAGTGGGACGGCTGGCCCCATGGGTGGGGGCACATGTTGAGAGCAGGCATCCCAGGGAGACTGCAGCTGGGCAGCCTCAGCTCCTTCCGGAGGCCTCTGCCCAGAGCCTGTGCCCAGCCAGCTGCCTGTCCCTGTCAGCCCTGCTGCCCCTGTAGCACACTGCTGTCCCTACCCTGGCTCTTCCCTCACTCACAGAGAGCATGTGAAGCTGAACTGCTCCTCCTGCTGAACATCCCCCAGTCCTTCCCTGGCTGTGCTGGCCCTTCCTGGGCTCTCTCTCTTGCCTTCCCCTTTGCCTGTATCTTCCACCCATCCATGCTGAAGCCCTCTTTCCCACTGCCTAGAAACCCACAGAAGCTCCATTTCTCTTCCTAGTTTGCTCCCATGCTCATCTTTCCTGCCATCCTCCTCTCTGCTGCCTTCTCCTGTCTTTCTGCCTCTGTTGTGTTTTTCTCTCCTCGCCGCACCAGCTGTTGCCCTGCCTGCACCCCCTGTGCTGACTATGCCCATTGGCCTCATCTGCTGAGCACCTTCTCCTTCCCACCTCTTCTCTGATCCACTTCTCCATCCAGCTTTTCCTTTCTCCTCCCACTTTTTTGTACATCTGTCATGTTCCTCTGCTTGTCTGTCCTTTGGGGCTAGGCTGTGTTTCTCGACAGTGCTCCCTGCCCGATGGCTGTTGCAGTGATGGGGTGGTGGTTAACAAACACCAACACATGTGGCTTTCTCCCCTGCTGCTCTCTCTGGTGTAGGTAACTGCTCCGGTGCCTCTGAAGGGCTCCAGCCTGGAGCTGTGTAAAAAAGCATTTGCCTGCCAGCGTGCCAAGGACCTGACAGAGCAAGCCAGTGCTCTCCTGGCAAAAGACAAGCAGATTGAAGCTCTGCAGCAGGAGTGCCGGGAGCTGCAGGCTAAACTCATCGCAGGGAAGGTGAGACACTTTTTGGGACATCAGTCAGTGGCTGGGGACAAGCAGTGCAACAACAGTGATGGGAACCAGGCTCCAGGAATCGGAATGAGGGCAATTAGCCCCAAGTGCAGATTGAAAACAGAGGGCATTTGATGTGTGATTTGGATGGCAGACATTGGGTGAATGTGTGGCAGAGCTGGTGTCCGGTCCCCTCCAGAACAGTGTGTTGGGGGACACCCTGGTTGTCCCTCCGTGAATTCATGGGTCTGAGCTGTCATCTTCAGCAGTGACTAAAACCACCCCCCCCGGGAAACCCCAAGAAGCCACAAATACAGGATGACTTTTTTTCACAGTGCTGAGCTTCAAGGAAGATGCAGAAGCAGGACCTCCTTTTAAAGTGTTTCTTTAAAAAGTAAACCAGCTAAGCATGTTCCCAAGAACCAGTCTAAATCCCGTGTCTTGAGCTGCAGGTTTCCGAGTGCTCACAGCCACCATGAGACTGGTGACAACCAGGTGCATCCTTGTATGACTATGACTAAGGGTACAAATCATTAGACAGGGGTGGGTGTTCATGAAATCAATCTACAATGCTGATGCCTGCACCTGGGCTGGTGACCAGGTTCCCCTCAGCACCAGCACAGAACTTGCCAATATAAATGATGTGATAAAAGGGATAATTCAGCTGATCACAAGACAGATGTCTAAAACTGGTTGGATGTGTCGCTCCCTCAAAGCACAACTTCTTTGCGATGACCCTGGAAGGAGCCTCTGCAGACATCTGAAGCTAGGTGAAATGATTCCCACTCAAGGTGACTAAAGCAACCTCTTCTGGGCATATCACATATGTCTTTTGTTCATGAGCTGGATGGTTTTAGTTTAGGTCAGTTAAACTCTCATGAGAAGCTCAGTAACACTAGGGCTTGCACTGGATTCCCCCTGTTCTGCTAATGCAAATGTGGTCAAGTGCAACCCTATGTTCCAGCACCCAGCTGAGCTGAATGAATGTTTACATTTCTATCTACCCTACTTACATGATATTTAGGTGATAAATACTTTCTCACTGAAAGCAGTTTTATTTCTGTCCTTGAACATACCTCGCCGTATGTTCACTTTAACTATGGGTTTGAAGGTAGATTCTCAGTCTTTCCCTAACGTAGATCTCATCAGAAGAATGATTGGGTGTTTGCTGTTTGTACAGGCTGCCCCACTGATCCCTTCCGGCATTAAAACACAGGAGAAAGTTATCCAGGTCTGACTGTGCTCTGTAGTGTCACCAAGAAGAAATTCCCTTTCTGTCCTCTTGATTTCTCACTGCAGACCTCCACAGGAGTGGGAACAGACCCTCTGCAGAACAGTCTGGTTTTCCTAGCAGAGCATGCTGGGCAAACTGAATCTGCCAGGGACAGGAGTGACAAATTGTAGAGGAATGTGACAAAGGCGGGTGAGCAAGATTCATTACTAGCCAAGGAAATACACATGGGTGCAGTCCTCAGGGTTGATGAATTCAGCCGCTGACTTGCTAGGGCTTGGGTGACCACCCTGGTTCAGCAGGTGAGACCAGACGGTCTGTTTGTGTAACCGCTGAGGGACCAGTAATGGGGGCATCAATACATGAGCAGGGAATCCACAGAGAAGAGATCATTCTGTCTGATTGTGTTTTTCCCATTTCCCTTCCAAGCAAGCCACTCATTAAATTTTAATTTTCAGCTAGTTAAAATTCAAAATTCACCTAATCTGTCTGCAGCATGCAAAATGCACTATGCCAGTGAAGGGGTTTATATGCAGAGATATTATGTGCATGCTCAGAGTTTGTAACCAAATCAATTTTAATCTAGGGTATTTAAATCAGCACAATTTTTTCAGTAGCTATGACATGGATCTACTCAGTTCCTTTCCAGTGGCAGGACGGACACTCTGCATGCCACGCTGCAAAAGCATTGGCCTTGTTTTACAAAGTCAGGGCTCTTAGGATAGGATAAAATTATTTCCTGAGATCATGCTCTGGTGATGGGCTTCCAACCAAACCCCAGCTCCAGCTAAAACAGGCTGCAATTTCTTGCAGCATGGATTCTTTGAAGCAGGGGATTGAGGGCAACAGCCAGGCAGCTGCAGGGGACATGTACAATAGAAACTGTGAGTGGAAGAGTGAGCTTTTTTTCTAGTCCCTTGTTCCCCCAGGCTTCGGAGGCTGTCTGTTGGGAATAGCTGCCTTTTTTTTTTTTGGTGGGGGAAGGGAGATTTTACACAGAGCCACAGCCAATTTTGTTAAAAGAACTACTACCCTGATAGCCTGAACATGGGTCTGGCACAGAGGAGACCCAGCTGCTCACTTCTTGAATCTGTAATCAGTTCCCATTAATGCTGCCTCAGTTTCCCCCTTGTAGTGTGAGAGTAACCATGGTTTTCTACGCAAATTGTATTTATAAAGCACATGCTATTTTTAGGGTGAAAAAGAAGAGAATGGGGAAGCTGATTAAATTTGTCCTGGATACCAATTATATGTTGAATTCACTGGCTTAGGAGCTTTCCAGGGGAATGAGCAATGTCTCCTCCAGCAGCGTATTTGTAAAGACAGGTTTTCATAACCAGCTTTTGTACGTATGTATGGACATGCAGGTATGTGCTGCTTCAGCTTCCTGAAATCTGAAAACCTTTGAAGAATTAAACAAGCTGATGACATATTCTCACCATTTCTGTGAGAGTAAGATTGCACTGATTTCCCTCCAAAGCTGCTGGCTTTGGGTCCGGAGTGAATGGGAGTGACTCTTTTTGCTAAAGATAGGGGTCCACCCACACAGAGACAGTAGTCTCTGACGAGGTTAGAAATCAAGAATGTTTGAAAACCAAACATTATACCGAGAGAGAAAACTGAACAAATCCCAGATGTTCTTCATTCTTTCCAGCATTTAAAGCCCTAGCCACCGTTAGGGCTGCAGAGAATGCCAGCACCCACAGCAAGGAGGTAAACTTGCTAAGGCTCTCGTTTGGCTGGGAAATGAAATTACATTATCCTGACACGCTCTCTGCTGGCAAGCACTGGGAAAGCACACACTTAGAAAAGCCCTTTTGCTTTGGGGTGGGATACCTGCAGAAGCATTACAGGCTAGTTTTTATCTGTGGGAGGAATAATGCATTTGCATAAGGGATGCAAAGCGACTGCTTTTGAGGCTTTGGAGACCCAGGAAACAGAAATCTGTCTGCCACATTACCTGGTTTTCGCCAGTGTCTCCTCAGTAAGGCTTTTGGAGTTTGTATGTTAAATCACCACCCCGACCTGTTCCACCTTTTAGAGCTTGTCAGCAACACAATGTCATGTTTGTGTTTCCCACAGGATGACCCTCGCTGCCTGAACGTCATCGAGTTTGATCGCCTGTTGCGGGAATCCCAAAGAGAGGTGCTACGGCTGCAGAGGCAGATCGCGCTGAAGAATTTCAAGGAGTGTCTACGTTCCTCTAAAATCAGTTCAGACAGCGCTTTGCCAAGCACTGCCACACGCCTGGGACCACCCGTACCAATGCTAAATACCTGCATCAAAAGTTCACCTCTAGCGAAGGAAGCCTGCTTGGGAGACCCACTGCTTGGAAAGGAAGCACACAGAGAGGTGAGACAAGTGGGTCAGCAATCTAAAAGTTTTGCTGTTTAATTACTCAATTAATTACTGTTCTTAGGAAACTTCGTAAGAGTATGTGGGCGCTGTGGTTCACACCCGCTGCGAACAGGTGCTGTGCTTGTTTCAAAAATGACCGATGCAAGCGCCAGGTCTCACCAGGTGAAGGGGGATGTGGACGCTGCTGGCCGCCCACTCCAGCGCGGGGATGCTGAGCCACGCCGGGGTCTTTGTCCCGCTCATCTTCCCCAGCACAGGGCTCCCGCGCTGGTTTTTTCCAGCCTAGGAACCCAGGCAACACCTCTTTTTGCCCTCATTTGCTGAAAACAAACATTTTCAGTGTTTGCTGAGGTTCGGACATTGGCTCCCAGTGGGTGAGCGATGGGCACCCATGGCCGTGCTGGCGCTGGCAGGGAGGCCTGCAGCTCCGTGACCCTCATCCCTGTCCCCTGCCGGGGACCGGCCCGTTCCCCCGCACGGCCCCAGCGCCCTGCTCCACCTCCCCCGGCGCAACGGCCCCAGCCGGGGTGAGCCCCCGAGGCGGGCCAGGTCTCAGGCCCAGCCCGCGCTGAGGAGCAGGGCCGCGGCCTGGCCGCCTCCCGGGCCC